GCGTACGATAATTAATCCAAATAGTATGAAGTTCCATAGGAATACTTTCATCCCACGATAATTTTAGGCTCCAAAGACGTTGCAAAATCATTTTAGCTATCACACTGACAGGCGAGAGTAGACCCAATGGATCGAAGATTTGAGCTATTGATGATAAGATTTGACGTTTAGTTATTTTTACATTTGGATTTTCTTCAATTTTATATTGCAAAGTATCAGCAGTTGGATCCCAAAGCAGACCAAGGGTTTTACTAGGTTGTGTTGGATCGAAATGTAAAATAGTGTTTGTATCGGACAGTTCAAAGACATTAGATGACCATTTCCTAAGTACAAATCCATGAGACTTCAAGATATCGTAAAGTCTAATTTTCAGATCTCTGACGTCATCGATAGTGCTGCCGCCTGTCAACAAATCATCAACGTAGAAATCGTGTAGGATTACAGAACTAATTTTAGGATCAGAGTCTTCATGTAAAAGGCCGACTTCCTGCAAACACCTAGTAGCCAAGTAAGATGAAGAGGCAGTACCATAAGTAATGGTATTCAGCTCAAAAGTTTGTAAACAATCAGAAGGATTTGACCTCCAAAGAATTTTTGGTAAGCACCTCTGCTCAGGAGAAACAAGCACCTGCCGATACATTTTTTCAATGTCAGCACACAAAACGATAGGGTAAGATCTAAATCTTAAAACAATTGAAAGAAGATCGTCCTGAACAGTAGGGCCTACCAACATTAGATCGTTAATCGAAAAACCAGATGAAGATTTAGCTGAACCGTCGAAAACTACTCGAAGACGGGTGGTTGTACTCGAATCCTTTATTACACAATGATGGGGTAGATAAAATCCAGAAGAATCATTTTGATTGGTTGCGAGATTCATGTGTTGTAGAGATATGTATTCATCCATAAAATTGGTATATTGTATCCCTAACTTGGGATTTGCATTAAGTTTTTTTCTCCAGAGAGTAGAATCGGTTGGTTGCAGCTACACGTGAATCACCAAGTACCGAAAAGTCATGTTTTAGGGGAATTTTGACACTAAATCCACCATCAGAATTTATTTGTGTATTTGTTTTGAAATGAGTTTCACAAAACTCCTCCTCTTCTGAAAGAAACCTTTTGTATTTGCACTCCTCAAGTAGCCAAAATTTTTCTATTTGTTTTTCCAGTGTATCGTTCCTCGAAAAATTACAAATTGAAGTTTTGGATAAATTGCTATTGCTTGTGGGCACAGGACCTGACACAAGCCAACCCAATTTAGTTTTTTACAATATAGGACAACCATTGTTCAACTTAATTTGCCCTACCGAAAGCAATGAATAAAAATGCTCAGCTCCAATCAACAAATCTATAGGTAAACTTGGACTAAATGTAGGATCTGCAAGTGTTATATTTGTAGGTATAGAAATTACTTGAGTATTCAAGTTGAAAGTTGGTGTATTAGATGTAATTGTAGGAGCTACTAGGCACGAAATGGTTAAACTAAAGTTGTTAGTGTTAAACTTAATCTTGACAGTTGTACGACAATGTATTGTTGAGAAGGATTCATTTATTCCAATAATCGAGACATTAGTTTTAAATGTTTGTAAATTTAGTTTATGACAAAGATTTTCAGAAATGTAATTGCTCTGTGAGCCACTATCAAGAATAACTCTACAAGGGTGAGGTTTTCCAAATTTATCAAATATTGTAACTATTGCAGTCGAAAGTAGAACACAGGTATTTTTCGAAATGTTGTTTGAGGTCACAGTTATAGAAGAATCGAGAGAAGAATGACCTACAAGAGTTGTACTATTTATATCTGCAATATTTGTACTAGTAGAAGTACTTGCCTCAACGACAGTTTGTGAATTTGTACGAGAAGTGTTTTCGAAATGTAGAAGCGTGTGGTGAGGTTTACCACATTTACGACAGAAGGAAGAACGACAATCTTTTGTATAGTGACCAGGATACAGACAATTAACGCACAATTTCAACCGTTTAACTTCACTCAACCTATTACTAGGTGTGAGTTTGTTAAAATCAGGACACGAAAATATTAAATGTTCCTTTGAACACAATGAGCAACGAGACCTGTTATTTGCAACAACAGATTTAGAAGTTTTTTGTCTACTATGTGAAAATACAGGTTTAACCATAGAGCGAGATTTATCATCACTAAAATCAAGTGACTCCAGTAATCTAAATTTTTCTTTCAAAAATGCTGTAAATTCTATATATGTGGGTAAACTAGATGAATTACCTGTTTTCGATTTCATGATTGAGTGTTCCCAATCTCTTCTAGTCGTGTGATCCAATTTTGTAGAAATGATATGTATTATTAGTGCATCCCAGTGCTGCACAGGTAGAGCCAATACTTCCAGAGCCCGAATATGCATACCGTCCAAAAGAGCTCTCAAACCAGTATGTGACTCTTTATTGAGTGAATTTAAGTTGAAAAGAGCTTTGATATGATTGCTAACTAACAGAGGCTTATTTTCATAACGCTCTTGCAATAAACTCCAAGCGAGTGTATAATTTGCCTCAGAAATTTCAAGTGATTTAATTGTTTCAGAGGCTTCAGCCTCTAAAGAAAGACGTAAATAATGGAATTTCTGTACACCAGACAGAACAGTATTTTCATGTATCACTGAGTTGAATGTGTCACGAAAGAACAGCCAATTTTCATAGCAACCGTCAAAATTTGGCAGCGACAAAGTAGGTAGTTTGTTGTTGGAAAAATTAGATTGTTCTGCTGATCTATTACTGTTGTTGCTATTATTCGTATGAGCGCTAGATCTATCTGCATCTGCTGTAGCTGCAGATTTATCAAAAATAAATTTTTTAACTTCCGATGTTAAATTATAGTATGCCTTTTCAAAATCTAAGCGCTCTTTTTCATGAACAGTATTAATATTGATGTCATAATCAGCATCTTCCGATTCGATTTCTAATTGGGCAGTATTAAAATCGTCAAGCAACTTCAAAGCATTTTCTAGGCGAGTTTCGAACTCAATAATATTAATTTCTAAGTCATCTTGTGCTTTTAGGGCTTCAAAATAATTTTTGAAACGAGTTAATGTACGTTTTGTTGTGGTACGTTTGTTTTTTGCAATAATATCTGCCATGGTATATGACAAATAAAGAAATCAATGAAATATAAAGGTTTGATAATACAAATTTAATGCTATAGTGACCTATGTTGACAAGAAAAAAAAACTCAAAAGGAGCTACGAAAACACGAAAGTAATTAAAAGGTATAATAAATATCCAAAAATTTGGCAGTAAGTAGTGTATGACTAGCAAAATAGCCCTAAAAAACGAGAAAAATCAAAATATAGAACAACGAAAATATTGAAAATACAAAAAACAATATCAGATCGAAACAAATGCAATTCTATACTAAGGTTCGAAAAAGGATACACACACTTACCAAACAAATTAGTAGACAAATCAACGAAAATATAATTGTTATGTACTTTTAAGGGTGATCCAACGGCCCGCATTCAAAGCGTCGGAAAGGGTTTCGTAGCAGTCTAATTACTACTTAACTATAAGTTGTATTGAAATAATTCTTGTTGTAGCCTAATCTACTAATGTGAAGGCATGTTTTTATACAATTTCTTTTTTTTTAATAATCCAAATTAGCTCAGGAACTGAGCTTAAAAATCATCAAAAAACCGTTTTTTTGTGTGATTATTTTGACTATTTTCGGAAGCCTTCAAAAAAATAATCGTATAGAGACATAGATCTACTTTTCCTCTTCAAAAGGGAACAAAAAAAATATCAAAAAGTTTATCAAAAGCTGAGTAATTAGACTGCTTCGTAAGCACTATTTACTGAAATTTGTAACCGTGGCGTGGCGCCACCATAAATTGAACACGGATGGCGACGAAAGTAAAATTAAACGTATTAAGTGGATTTCGGGGGGCCGTCTGAGTATAAATTTCACTATTTTTTATTTATTATTGCATTTATTTTAGTAAGTTGACTTTATCGATTTCAGGTAACGATGCCTATATTAGTTATCTCTCCAATCGGGGGTTTTGAATTCATTATATCTGTACCTACATGCAATTATTTTCTTTACATCTTATGTAAATTGAAAGGAGTACCTATCCGGTCAATATGTATTTGAATGGAATTTATGAATAAGGAAAAAATGCGTCTCGGAATAATTCTTTTTTATTAATACAAACACGCAGAAAGTACATATTATGTACTATTATATAAACCATTGTAAAAACATACATATTACATATATTGAATTTTTTTGACAGCTGTCACAGCCAATTAAATTTAGTTATTTTGTGTCATGTGACTTAAGTCATCCAATCACGTGAACATTATACTGAAAGAAAAGTGATCCCATAAGCTGTTTTCACTTTATGACGTTGCTATGAATACATTTTCAGAAAATTCCTATCCGAAAAACCCTCGAACATTGATAACTAGTCAGAAATTTCATAACAACTTTCTCAAGCTTGTTGCTCATAGGAAACAAACCTTCACCATCGGCGTCGATCTCTTTCCAAACAACAAGCTTCCGAAATCTGTTATAAATTTCTTCCGAACAATTATCAATGTTTTTGAGTTATTACCACAGCTCATTACTATATTACTATTGATTGAAGAACAAACATGGCAAAAGTAAGTTTATTTGTCACTCATTTGTAAAACGTCACTTATCAAGTCACAACATAAACAACGAAAATTGATTTTTACAAGCTCTACTGACTTGTAAAATAGACAGCTAAACTGTAATTTTTTTTTATCTACAAGCGTTTGGTTATGACGTTTTTACATTACCATTTTTCTAGTATTTCAGTTATGTCATAAGACTCATAACACAACTAGTGGTGTTATGGTCTAGGTTATGAATTCATAACACAACTAGTGGTGTTATAGACTTGGTTATGAATCCATAACACAACTATTTTTGGTGATTTGACAAATGTCAAAGTTAAACCTGTAAAGGTAAAATGAAGGTACCTAGACAACTACTAATAAACGAAAATAATTGAAAAAACATGCTTAATTTTTGCTTTGTAGATAAAACGTTGTACATAACACGTGCGTTTAAACATGACTACAAAATTCGTATGATTAGAACGACTCGGTCTACGACCTCATCTTTCTAATTTTCCGCACTCGTTATAGTAATCATGTTCATAAATGCACTAAATGTAAATAACTATTACAAGTTAGTAGACTTATTTATTTTCAAAAAATCAGTTTTATCACAAGAATAATTACTTGTAGGTATATATACCTTCTGGAAGAGTGACAAATAAATTATTGTACATTATACGCCAGGTAGCAGTGTTTACTGGCTCTTGAAAGTGACAAGCTCGCCTGACGGCTCGCTAGTCATTTCCTTCAATCGCCAGTAAAACATGTTTTGCCTGGCTAATAATGTAAAATACTAACATCCTCAATTGACTATTCAGGGTAGTCAAAAGTGTTTGGGAGGTAGGGGTGTCTCTACAGGTCTTTTAATGACTTGTTTTTTTATGTCTCGGATAGGCATATTACGTGCTACTCTTGAATCTACAATCTCTGGCAAAAGGCAATTGTCAAAAAAATCTACAAGGTAATCCTGCATTTCATGTGACCAGAAAGATTCGTCTGCAAGGATAGTTTCTGTTTTCAATCCGTGGGGCGTCCACACAGCGAAGACACAGTATAATCGTTTAGCTACATGTAATTGGCCCTGTACTTGGTAAAACCACTTATGTTTTTTATTGATTACACCATTTTTGTCCCAAAAAGTAATTTTTCTTTTTATTATGCCTTCTTCAGGGGTCATTTCCGTTGCAGAATATGGACACTTTATTTCCACAATACCCTTTTCCTCAATTATACCATCTGGTGAAGCTGCTAGAAATTGTTGTTCTTGGTCAATGAATAGCCCACATGGTTCAATTTTTTTGCCAATAAGTTTTTCTAGTGCATTTCTAGCTACTGATTCATATTTGTTGCCATAGTCGCATGCAGCCGAATAAAATTTTTTGGGATATAAAATAGATTGTACCAACGATTTACAACCGGTTGTAGGCCTTCGTCGGCAAACCACACCAAACATAGATGCCGTCAGCCGTTTTCGTCTTTCCAAATACCATAGATCGGAATTTTGCTGCTGCCTTGTCAAAACTTCAATGGTTTTTATGTCTTCACTACTCCTACATAAACTTTCTTTGAAATCGTTTTTGGCATGTCTCAATTCTTCATCTGTCATATCTGGTTTTTCACATTTTTCTCCATAACTTTTATTATCTTCAGTTTCAGTGTTCTTTTTTGAAAACAACGGTTTTCTACAGGCGGGTTTTCTATTTCGGTTTTTTTCTGTCCTTCTGAGTTCCATTTTTTTAGAAAACTTGCTTGGACTTTTTCCAGGAGATAGATGTTTACGTGCCGTGTAGATTACTCTCTTTGTATTGTGACTTACTACTGCAGCTGCGCATCTGCTTTGATAGGACCGTCGTTGGCAATAATTAACTCGTTTTCCTCCTATAAATTTTGCTATAACAGAGTTAAACTGTTCAACGCTATTATTTTCCACATCATGGATTAGACTCTCAGCATGGCGTACTAAATAATTTTTGAAAGTGCACAGTTTCTGGTACAAATCTAAAACAAAATAATATCAAAAGTGTGATTTTTAAATATTATTACTCTCGACTTTTACATGATGAAAATCTGTATTGAAAAGTTTAGTAAAACGATTTGCTATTTTTACAAAACATGGACATAGTAAGTTATGTCAACACAGTGGCTTCATCAGATGTCTAGTAACAATGGAAGTACGAAGTAGTTGGTTGTTTTGAATATAGCGTATAAAATAGTTACAGACTCGGTTACAGACAACCTAATATACAAACAATTTGAGAAGTTTTTAAAATATCAATTTTTTTTCCATGGATGTTTTAATTGTACTGATCAACGACCATATAAATTTTCTACTTACCAGTCGATTTTAAATCATTTAAAACATTATTTTCGTTATAGGCCTTGTAACAAAAATATCCCAAATCCTGACATTCTCGGTGTTCGTCAAAAACATGACTTATCGAGTTATTCATGTCCCGTTTTAAGTTGATGATTTTCTGGTCTAAAGACCCATTTTCATTCTTCCTATGTGATATTGCCTTGGTTATTGCCCATCGTAGTCTAAGCTGATTTTGCTGAAATAGAATTTCATATTATGGACTAAACACTTTTTTTTAAATTATTTATTTTTAAACAATCTGAATATTTCGTAATATTTTTGGAATCCTTATTGATTTCTTGTTATTTTAAAAAATATATGATATTGTGCAAGGGGCCCTCTTGCGTAATCCCTAGCTGCAATATATCTAGGACTTAATTTAAATACATGGTTTGCTTTTGTAACGTTAATTTATCCTTACTTCAATTATTTTTCGAAGATTTAGAGGACCTGCTTGCGTATCTTTCACGAGATCTCTAATTTTTTTTGAATAATTGCGCAACAAATGATTTTTGCATTCTATTTTTTTAACACGAATGTTTTCATAAGGGTGAACTTCTAAAATTCTTTTGTACGTGTTGCTGTCGCCATCTGCTATAAGTCTGTTATATATCAGACCATACATCTCAATGCTTCGCTGAAACCCTTCTGCTATTATATTTGCCTCCATGCTTGCAGCAGAGCCAGTCCAGTTTTTGTAGCATTTGTGATCTTTTGGGGTGGAATTCTCTTTTCTTTTGGAGTCACATACCAGGCAAAATTTGTTTCGTACCCCTATGAATAAAACCTTTTTAGTGCGATATCCCACAATTGCTGCAGCACCTGATAAAGAGTTATATCGGTTTCCATAAGACCTCTTTGCCCAACTGCCATCCGCTACAACTGTTATTGTTGGAATGCCACTTTCATTAATATCACCAGCAGCAATAGCTAAAGCTTTTTCTTCGTCTGCTGCATCCTTCATAGCTTTAATACTTGTTTCTTCCCAAACATTGGAAATCTCATCATGAACAGTGCTATACATACGTCCTGACATGCACGGTATATCCAGAGAAGCTGATATTTGCTGCAAGTGGGAAAGGCCAGAACCAATTGACATTACACCAAGGACAGCATCTTTGTTTATGTCATCGTTCGATTCTTTGCAGGTTGGAATAATACACGTTTCATTGCACATATTACATTTAACATGGATGTGGGATAGGAAGCCTTTACGTTCTTCCTTAATAATACGCATATTTTGAAGGGTACATGCAAAATGGGGCGCATGATTTGAATAGCGTACAAGGGAAGTGATAAAGAACCCTAAGTCCACTATTCTTCTACCTTCAAGTACTTCGTCAATACTTATAGAGCCCTAAAAAATATTTACGCATAAGTAGCTACCTGCATTTTAATATAATAAGGTAAACGTACCAATTATTGACACCTTAAGGCAAGAAAAACCTTTTAAAAAATCACCAAGGTTATACTGATCACTTAAGGTCCAATTTATATTTTTTATATCATTTTTTGGACTTTCCCGAACAAGATGACCATAGTTTTATTAGGAGTAACTTAATTTTTTTCGGGAAAAAAAATTTTTGAATAAAATATAACAGAGGCACCAGTTATTGACAGTTCATTTTTTCATAGGCTCCAGTAATTGACACACCAATAATTGACACAAAAGGAAAATCATTTTATTCAAAAATAATATTTATAATCTATTTTAGGCCTCATTTATTTCAATGTTATTTGAGAACACATATTTTATTCTATCACCGATGTTCTGAATTTCTGGTTGAGGTAGTTTTTCAACGATGTCTTCTAATCTTATAGTAGAGATATCGTTTTCTGCTATCTTAAAACAGGATTTTCCGTTTATGGATCTCAGAGAAGCAACTTCAATATCATCCTGCGCGTATAGTTTTTGTACGACACAGACATATTTATAAAAAAAAACTTTCTTTTTCCCTCCCATAAACTTAGCCAAAATGAAGTCTCCAACATGTATATCATCATATTGTAAATTCGTGGTTAACCCTGAAGTCTTTCTTGATTTCAAGCGGATCAATGGAATATGGTCATACTCATCTTCATCTTCTTCTCGTTCCGAATAAATGTTGACATCATCCAAACTATCCCCGCTTTCCACCCACTCTTCACCTGAATCTGATGAGTCGGAAGGTAAAACTTTCTTCTTTTTGGCTTTTTGTTGAATTTGCCTGGCTTTCTCTTCCTTTTTTCGTTTCCTTTCTTCCGCTTTATTTTTTTTTTCTTCCAACATTTTATCTTTCTCTCTGGCCTTTTTCATATGGTATTCCTGCCATTTTTCTGAGGTGATAGCAGATGGAATTTTTTCTTTTTTTCGTTTTTTTTCTGAACTAATTTCTTCAGGCCAGAATAGCGCCTTCTTGAAGGGTGTGGGAACTTGTTCTTTTAATGATGAAAGATTTAAGGGTGTTATGGATTTCGATGAAAGGGGGTTAGTCGCAGACAAGATAGCGGAAGCGGGCGTTATTTGTTTTTCTGGAGTAGCGAGAGTGTCATAAGGATCTATTGTGGGATTTTCTTCTGCCTGATGTCCCAGATGTAGACCTGAACATCCCGGCTCCGATATATCATTATCTTTTTGTTGCAGAACTTCTCCATTCGAATTATTCGCTTCGATAGCTTCTGCAATAGTATCTTCTTTTCCAAGGTTGTTTTCATTGCCTGGTTTGACTTCTTTGTCAACTCTCATGTTACTGATCGATTCCAGTTTCATTGCCGACCATACATTAAATAGTGAAGTATCTTCAATGTTTCCAGTCCAATCAGCTTTGAAATTAGCTCTAAATCTTTCTAGTTTTTCGGAGGGAATGGTTTTCTCCAAGACCAAAAGTCCTTCTTTTGCTTTGGGAAATTGTTTAGTGTTTGCTGATTGGGTAGAAATTTTTGAAAATTTCACATTTTCAACATTGAATGGACAAATACCACAGCCCCTAAAGCCATTTTGTATCGTCTCTTTTGTGATTTTTGATAAGGCCTTCTCAAATACGGTTCCAAAATTATCCTTCCTGAACTTAATTCCATGGTTGTCGAGATGCCAGTCTCTTACAGATGATTTCCAAAATTGCTTAAGGGGTTTGAAAACCGCCACATCCATGGGTTGGATTAAATGAGTCGAGTTGGGATATAAGGCAAATAGTTCAATTCCGTTTCTTGAACAGAATCGTGATAAATGTAAAGTCATATGCGACACATGGCCATCTATGAACATTAAAATCGGTCGTTTAATTTTTTGACTTTCTAGCCACGGAACAAACACGTTAGTTACGTATTCAAAGAAGGTAGCGCCACACATCCAGCCACTTTCTGACCGACCTAATCCCCAAGTTTTATTGATACTGATTGCTATATTGCTTGGAATACGTTCATACTTGAAAATTACCATGGGCGGAGCAAATTCTCCAGCGGCATTTGCTGTCACCAGAACTGTGAGATTCTCTTTTTCGTCATTTGTTCCAGCATTATACACACTCTTATCTCCTTTTCTTGCCAATACTTTGTCTGCCTTTGGCTGTAGAAAAAATGCACTCTCATCGGAATTGAAGACTCTTGTAGGATCGTTGGTTATCTCAAACAGGTATTTAGACTTTAAATAAAGCTCTATTTCTTGGAACCATTGTCGAAGCTGTTGTTCAGACACTTTTTCACGAGCAGGTGTTAAATTTTGGGCTACCCTCTTACTCAAAATTGGATGCCTTTTCATGAACGAGTCATACCACTTTCGGCCTGGACGGAAATTGGTAAAAGGGTTTGGACGTTTATCGTCTCGAATTATCAATTGGACGCTATCCAACAATTGTTCCTTATTGACTGGATGATGTGCCTTAGCCATCGAAAGAATCCATTTTTCGAGAAGATTCTCTTCATTGGTGGTCAGAATGGTGCTGGGTCCCATTCGGCAATCCACTGGTAACTTTCCTTGTGATTTATACATCAGCGTCACTCTAGGAACAGAGTGTAGTCTAGCAGCCTGGGCTACAGGTGTTCCTCTTGCCACAGCTTCAAGAGCTGCATTCATCTGCTCTTTCGTGTAATTTTTTTTTGGCGCCATATCTGAAATATACAATGACAATGCTTCAACAAGATCTAGTTTGTTCTGTCGGGTCCACGTTTATACGTATTTTATTGGGTATTCGCCAAAGAGGCGTAATATCAACCTACCCAATGAAACACATATTTCGTTGCTCCAGTAATTGACATCTTATGTACCAGTAACTGACACCCTGTCAATAACTGGACCCGATTGTTTTTTTGAAGCCATATTTATAGGGAAGCTTACACACTCATACTTGCGTATCTTAGCATTATCCACTGAATATGCATCGATGTACCAGTCATTGACACTAGTGTCAATGACTGGTGATATTAGGTTTAGACTTGATCCAGTCATTGACACCTCAGCAACCTGGCACTAGATGATTTATGCCCACAGAAATATGATAGAAACAATACCTCATAGTCTAGATGAGCCCCCCAAATACTTATAAAACATCAAACATAATTTCAGCAATTGTTTAAATGCATCAATTAATTTACTTACCTTAACGATTTGCTTAACGTTTTTCTCCAGTCACAGACACTTTGCAAATGGCGGCATGAAAACTGAAAATGGAGTTTGGCGATTCAACTCCCAATCGGTACAGGGTTGCCAAACCTTCTATTCTTTAAGATTTTTTACGTAAATATACTCTGTTCACCAAGATGATCTTATTTTTGAATTAAATGTGGCTCAGTGTCAATTATTGGATCAGTGTCAATAATTGGTACGTTTACCTTAGTTATTTATGGAACAAGTGTGTAAAGTGAAAAAAGGTGCTTTACGCACGTATTGCATACAAAATTTTTCACTTTACGCACTAGTGCGTGAAGTAATTTACCAGAAAACTACTAAATTGACAGTGTCGACATCTGTCATTGACATCACTTTGCGCACTAGTGTGTGAAGTGAATTACTTTACGCACTAGTGCGTGAAGTGAAATTTTACGTCTTCTGAATAGTGCGTGAAGTGAGTATTTTACGCACGGTTGTAGAAAAACAAAATAAAATTTATCCATGCACTCATAAACGGATAGGCTAAAACTAAATACTTAGGAGGTAAATTAGTAGGTATGATTTCCTACCGTTCTATCATTTGTTTTCTCATCTTCTCTATTGGATTTGTTTCCATCACTTTCAGTTTGTATTTCGTGTGATTCCTGCATAATTTCATCTGTATGGTCAAAGTTTGTATGGTCAAAGCTTGGGTCAAAGTTTGTATGGTCAATATTATATTCAAAATCAATCTTAAAATATTGAAATGGTAATTAAAACGTAACATGGTGTTAAGCCGAAAGGTACTTACCTCAATTTCATTGTTTAAATAACTTAAATCTCGTTCCCTTCCACATTCGGCACTCGCGACTTCGATATTTTCTGAATTGGTTTCCCTTGACGTTGATTCTATGTTCTCCGAAACGGTAGCTACGAAACAAACTCCAAATATAACGCTGTATATAAGTGATATACAGTGTAAGGAAAAAGTATAAACAATCTCAGAAAATTTTGTTCTGACTAGTAAAAGAATTATTAAAATACAGAATAGACAAGAAATACTGGTTGAAAAAAAACTTTCGAAAAGTAACAAATACGCATTCAAACAAAAAATGTTTCAAAAAAACTAAAATTTACTTTTTCCTAAGATGGATTTTGACATTGAAAACTTTGAAACATAAACAATAATGTTGCATTTACATTCACTTCGAAATCCAATTTGTCTTGAAATTGACGTGCTTGCCATATTGCCCCAGCACAGATCCATTTACCAATTTACATTGAAATAAATTTGAAGTTCACTTCGAAGTGTACTTCAAATTTTGGCCAGCCGTTTGCCGAGGTCGAGCAAAAATTTATGAAACGTCAAATTTTTAGATCATTCATCATGATTCTCATAAAATTCTGACTTTTTGACTTGACGTTTTTGTTCTGCAATGTAAATGATAATGATAAAATATCAAGCGTCAAATTTAACTTGAAGTTTGAAGTGAATGTAAATGCTCCTTTTCACTTGGTCCTGATTGGTGGCAAAATGCCGTGTCCCTGTAGGTTGGAATCAGTTTTATAATGCATGTCGTGCAAATGACATGTTGCTACAATAGGGCATGTCCATGTGACATCACAAATTAGTTTGACAATCGCCCTGAGGTAAAACAAATCATTTATTTACA